AGACTATGTTCAAGATCCTCATCATTTTTTCATAATTTCAAGCGCTATATTATATAAATATTATTGACATTTCTTTTATATTTGTTCCATCTTGTCCTGATAGACATAATTTATAGAGATCTCATAATTCTCATTTATTTCAGTTATTTGAATTTCTTCGGAAAACTTATTAGTCATGTTCAGGATCTCTTCTAAATTTTACTTTTCTACAACTTGACCATCTTGAATATATGCTCATTTTCTTTGACTTTTATTTTTCGGAACCGATCTACCATGCTTCAGGTATGCCGTAGATCCATTAGCATAGGCAGTTTGTCCTTCATGGACATCAATTTTAATAGGAGCATTTGCAGCTTGTATGTTAGATTTAGTTATCTCTTTTGAATCATTAAATATATATATCTGACAACTAATTTGCAATATCTTGCAAACGAATTGTTTTAAACTTTTAAACTCACACTGTCTTATATGAGGATCAAGATAAAATAATGATAATTCTTTTCCAACTAATTTATTCTTCTAGCTGGTTATTCTCTTTCCCTAATGTCGGGATTTATAATAATTAACAAATTTGGCCATAAATAACTTTCTTATTTTTGAAAGCTCTAGATAGATGTAAATTCATACCTGATATATTTTCCAACCTCTTTTGAGGACCCATCTTAGTGCGTTATGGTGGAGTAATTAGAACATATACCGAACATTTAAAAATTCATCAATAGATAATATTTGGTTCATGATCCAAAACTAATTAAAGGGGAGAACTTATAATAACTTATTGGCATAATGCGAATAAGTGCTACTACATATAATAGCACGTTGCTCTACAAGAATAGAGAGTTTTATTCTCATAATAATTATTTTGCATCGCAATCATTTAACAAATGATTCTACTACATCATTTTGAGCATAAATAAAAACAACTAGTTGCCCTATAATTATTTCAATCAACACATGTCATAATCATTAAAAGCTTGATGTGTAAATTCACCATCATTCTCAAGATAAATTAGTTTAATAGCATAATCTGGAAACATAAATCTGCGAAATTTGTGTACTTAATCAATTATTTTGCACAAATTAATCATGCAAACTTCAGGTTGCATTGATGATAATAATCTTTTTGCAAATCAAGTTGCAAGTTAATTAATAATCATGTAACTATCTTTTGAGATGCATCCACCAAAATATCTAAATCAGTTCACATGATGATAATAATTGATCAATAATTTCACTATATTATATTCCCAGTACAAGATATCGACCAGGCAGTTCTTTCTTGAAACTGTTATTACTATCTTTTGGATGCATCCACAAAATATCTAAATAGTTCACATGATGAATAAAATTGATCAATAATTTCACCTTATATATATTCCAGAAAATGCAAGTGGTTCTTTTGAACTCTATTTGGTGATTGCTCAATAATTAATTTACTTTGAGAACAAACTAAACATGAAAAATTTATTACAGTTGAAGAAACTTTTGGTTCTTCAATAAATATCCATATAAGGATTAAATTTTCCTTTTCGCATCATTATTGATTGAGATGGTCCAACCGATCATGCCAACTACTTAGATTTGTAAACTTCCAATTTACAATCATATTTATTTCAATCATTATCTTTATATGATATCCATTTTAATGAATATCTTTTAAATAATGCATTATGCATAAAATTCATTTCTTAGGTAATAATACTTGCTCTTCTAGAGCCTCTAAATATTATTTTACTACTAAAGCCAAATTTGCTTTTTAATATTTTTGTGTCTAATAAGTACATAATCAAATGTATCAATATATGCCACATTATTTGTACGACTTCTGGTAGTAAAATTTATTCTTAATTATGTGGCCACCATAATTACTAAATTCATTACTTCAAGTGTAATCTTATTGATATTATAAATAACAAGTATATCTTTGTCATTATTCACGCCATATTATTATTGCATTCACTTTAGGTAATGAAAAAAAATCTAGTTAGGTAGACATCGTTATACCATATATATGCTATTTCATTCACTTCAGGGAATGGAGCAAAATCCAGTTGATGGCCTCATGATCTTTATTAAGATCTCTTGATTTTGTTCAATGATAAAAAAGATATAAAATAAATCTAGAGCTTCTCTTAAAACTTTTTCTCTCGATATTGCTACTTTAGAAGTATATTCGAGATATAGATATCATTAACAATTCTAGATCAAAAGCTAATATATAGATCCCAAACATAATAACGATAATATCTTAATTATATTTAAAAACAAATAAATCACTTCTAAAAATTGGTAGCACATGAATAATATATGTCAATATATAATACTCCATCTATTCCATTTTGTTTACTTGTTATTTCTTTTTTGATGTCCCAAAATATTTACAAGGTTTCTAAATTTGTAAATTTAAACAATTATTTTTTCTATAATAACATTTATGATTGTTTATTATATGAACGACTTTTATTAATATCTTAATGAGTTATTGAGGGTAAAGAAGGACAAAATAATTTTTGTTAACTAAATTCTTAATATGCGTGTTTTATCAAACTATGCAAACAAAATGAGATGGGGGAGTAATAATTATAAGAATAAAATAATAATCTTAATGTTACAAAATTATAGTCATTTACAGTTTTACGAGCTTTGCATCTGTATTGATAATTGCATCTATTCATGATGAACTTTTGGGAATTGTACATTTCTTTCAAATCATTCCAAAAAAAACAAATCTTTATGCTATTTTGATTAGATCCTTAATCTTTTTTTTTTAATTTTATATTTAAGATCCGTTGTATCTAAATATAATAATTCTTGATCGAAATATAAAAGGCCTTAAATTCAAAATCTATATATTTAATATCATGAAAGTGATTATAATAAAACAAAATAGACTATAAGATCATAACAAAGAATTTAAAAATAAATAATCAACTTAAATTAAATAAATTCAAAGTTAATCAACTAAATTAAATAAATTCAAAAGTTAATAAAACTTGAAAAAATTATCACTCTCTCTTTCATCCAGAACCTAAAACCTAAAAATTTTATTTTCTTCTTCAATCGAGCGGCCACTGGTGGTCACCCCTTTTCTTTTTTGTTTATTTTTTTGCAAATAATCCTCAGATTTATTTCAAATCTGAGTTACTGTCATCCAATATTAAGATTTATTGCTGCCAAATTTTGGGATTTTGTTCTCAGATTTAGTTTTGAGTTATTGTTGCCCATATTTTGGAATTTTGTTCTCAGATTTAGTTCTAAGTTATTGTTATCACCATTATAATGATAATTTTGTTTAGCGTCTTTTATTATTTGCATAGTTATGCAAAAAGTAGTGCAGATTTCCTCTCTAATAAAAAAGAAGAAATTTGGAGGTAATCAGATCGAACTTGTAGAAAATCATAGAGTCCAACAGTGGCCATGAATAGCCATCAAGTGGAACAAGTAATCGCCTTTGGCACAAATATTATGCTCTGTCAACTCATTGATATACTCCAAATCAAGATTGTGTTTTTTTATTCTTTATATAAGTGGTTTATTATTAGATTTCTTATACAAAAATATAAAAATATATTGATCTGTATTCTATATCTGCATACAATTTTCAATTAATGAAATTTTTAGTTTGATTTTTCTCAAAAAAATGTCAATAAAACTTAAGATTATATAGTTGACAAATAAATTATCAAGATTTATTCCCACATAAATATATGTATCGAATAATATAAAGCGATTAACAAATAAAATATCAATTTATAAATATGCTAAAACCGTCATTATTTACCAATTAATTCAAAATCAAATATGAACAAAATAAACCACATATTTTACTGAAAAATAAAATAATAAATAAAATAAATATGTGTCGTGCATACGTTATAAACAAATCTTTATAAAAAGATTTTATATATAAACAAATAATATTTGTTTTTATTAGCTATATATATATATAAAAAAATCTTTAGCCCTTATAATATTTTATATATAAACAAATCTTTTGTTTTTATTATCCATGAAACGAATGCAAATTTACATCAGTTTACTTGTTAATAAGCTTTATACTGTGGAAGTAAATAAGCCGATATAAACAAATATTTATAAAAGAATATAAACTGATTGTGATTGATCATTCTTCGATTTTTTAAAAAATAAATACATTAGGGTATACCTAAATAATAATTAAAGTAAAATATAAATTTAAATAGGCACGCTGTAAACATTCTGTCAACTAAATAAATTAAGATATTTCACCAAACCAAACAATCCACCACAAGAGTCTATATCGACAAATCACTATAACTTAATGAGTATAACAATTGGGCAAAAATAACTAAAAATTCACACTCAATTGCAATAATATCAAATTAATTTCGCAAGATCATACAAAAAAAAAAAAAAAAAAAAAAACCAACCCCCCAATTTACTATTAAGACCGTAATAAACAAACTCAATCAAAAATTAAATCAAAACAGTAAAAAAAAAAAAAAAAAAAAAAAAAACCCAATTTACTATTAAGACCGTAATTAAACAAACTCAATCAAAAATTAAATCAAACATATAATTGAAAAGTACTAATAATATAACATCATAATTAAAGGCAAACAAACATTTAAAACACTCAAACCTTAACTTTGGTTGTCGCAGACCATAAATTATCATTTCTTTGAGCGATTTGATCAAGGGAGCGATAAAATAAAAATCGAAATAGCAGAATGAATTCATGGTGGTAGAACGAATCGTGCTGATAACATGTTATAAAATAATATAAAACTAGAGAAGAAAGAGAAGGAATAGAGAGCAAAATATGAGAGAGAATACGAGAATGTTATTATTATTGATGAGAAGCCACATATATATATAGTTACATAAGTAGAACCCACAAGTTAAGAAGATAGAATTCGCAATAATTAACAATACAGACTTCTAGCCCATATAAGACATCTACTTCATAACATTTTTAAGATGTATTTTCCAGAAATAAACAAAGTCTAAAAATCAGATAATTGTTTCTCATGACTAACTATTCAAACGGACTTCTATAGAATATATTGAAGTAGCACTTGTTAATAACATATTACAGCCAAAAAGTCAAAAAAGATTAACTCCTTCCCCTTCAAGTTAATGAATTACACTGAGCAAGATAAGTTGTACATTAGGGTGAATACAGACTGAACAACAGAAAGCTACAAAATAAATTTCCCATCATATCCAGCACCAAACCTTAGCTAAGAGCAAGCATTAGTAATTTCAAATTCCTCTGCTAGAAAATACAAACATGAACAGGCCTTTACCTGAAGGAAGCCTTTGAATGGAACTCAAATCCATGTGAAAAATATGTTAGCAAGGCAATCGAGAAAGACCGTTTGCTTGTATACTCGAGCTAGGTCGTAATGCAAATCTATCCCTCCTTTTGAATCCTCTTGTCCCTTATGGGTAGTTCAACTGGCTTCTGAGCTTCATGTGGATGATCTGGACCCTTGTATACCTTAAGGTGGTTGAATAATGCTCTTCCAAGCTGCAGGAAATAGTCATCAACAATAGCAGTTCAATTGGGCAAAAAATATGCCTGTTCATGAGGGCAGAATAGAGTAGAAAAAATCTAACCTTAAAAAGCATAAATTTAACAAATAAATGACCAAATATATGGAAATAGATGTAAAATGTCTTATATTACGTCAAGGTGATATAATTTATTTCCAAATTGGGCCCCCAAAAACATGTAGGAAAGGATAAAAAATTAATGTCTCTATGCACAAGGCTCCTCATATTGTGGAAAAGGAGGAACATCAAATCAATGTAAATAGACTCGTCCTTACAATGCAAAGAGACTGTTTCTATAGTTTGAACTCAAAACTTCTAATTCACGATAGAATAATCTTATCCTTCCACTAATGCTTACCCTTAGGAAGTGGGACAGTATAGGAACTTGAAATGGCAAAGCACATCATAAAATACAAAGAATTAGAATCATATTATGCATTCTAATATTGAGGGATTGCCTTCCCTTCCGAAAAAAATATGGCAAATTTTGACAAGTAAATCAGAACATCTTGCCACATCAGGCATCAAACATATATTAAGTCGCACTATTTTAATGTAGTGGAGAAAAAACAAATCTTCAACTCATCCAGTGCAAATTTATCGAAGACAGATCCTCACATTACTATACTACCAGTTAGAAAATGGGAAAGTTTCATGATGGTCGTTCCTATCTTTTTTTCTGTACTCTATTTTTCTATTTGTTCTTTTGACAAGTTAATTTTATCAGACACCTTACATACTGGAAAAGAATTTTTCCCAAGGCAACTTAAGATGCGAGATAAGTATGATCTAATAAAAAGGGCACTCCCAGCACAAAATGTTCATTGCTTTGCAAGAGACTGGGGAAGCTCATCTATCATAAGATACATTCCCCAAGCTTTTTTGCAAAGCAACTATTTCCACGATTCAGACCTGTGACTGTAAGGTAACATTACAGTTGCACCAACCCTCATAACCAGTAAAAACCACATTCACATTTTGGAATTTCAGACACCCTTAGCCCCACTCAGTTCAGGACATTGGAGTTTCAAAAGAGAATATAAAAGGCACATATTTGAGGGACAGAAAAGAAGAAACACACTTAACTTGTCAAACAAGCCAATTGGGGTGAGATAAAATGTCCTTTCAAATCATTATCCTATCAAACTAGCCATCAAGATCATCAAGATACTATCTCCACAAAATGCCGCTAATGAGTAATAAAACTGCTGTAGATTCATTTTCATTTCAACCCTTTCCATACATAAACCTAAATGAGGAGTTAATGTCCAATCAACCCTCCAAGAAATCATCACCTTCTGCAATACTCAACATTCCCACACATAAGGGATTCCACTTACACATGTAGTTAAACAAGTCTTCACAAGATCGTATAACTTGTCCTTGATCTTTCTTTGCATATGCATTTCCATGTCAATCTGGTATGGTTCTATTTTAGCTATAATGAATTGATAAGTATCATATAATTTGACAATTTATTCATTATTTTATTTAATTACTGTTATTACATACTAGATACTCTATTGCAACCCAAAAAAAAAAAAAAGACCCCACTGCAATGCTCCTTCATATAAAAACTAAGGAATGAAAAACCTGTTTAAGGTATAAATAATCATATTGAGTTAGAACTTCAAAACTTACCCTCCCTTTAGGAAGCATGCCTCGAACAGCATGTTCAATAATTCTTTCTGGAATCCTCTGTTGTAGCTGATCAAATGTCTCCACTTTCATGCCACCTGGTCTTCCTGAATGCCTTCTGTATAGCTTTTGGGTCCTTTTCTTCCCAGATACGGCAACCTTCTCAGCATTCACCTTATCAATCAAAAGTTTCAGATTTAACATACTTAAATGGTGACTAATGCATGTCTGAAAGCCTATTACAAGAGCCCACATTCTGTGAAACAAAATAATGTATAAACCATCATAACCTTTAGAAGAACATAGAACACTGTCTGACCAACTGAAAAATTAAAATTTTTTGACTAGTCAATATTAAAATTTTTATCTCTAGAAGTAGGAATAACCATGTGATAAATAAGACAACCACATTTTCAGCAAGGATCTTTAGTGCTCAAAGTAAAGCACAATATTTTGAAAATTTTAAATTCTCTACTTATAGTAAATATCTAGAGATAACACCAAGCGATATTGCCAGTCCAAGAAGGAGTCATTAAGTAGACAAATATTGCAAAAATTGTTAAGTTATGAGTTTTAGACTCAAGCCAAACCCTTAACTCAACTTTGTTACACTTATTTTCAAGATCAGGGAAACAAATAAGCAGGAGAAATATTGAGATAATCCAATATAACATTCTTAAGAAGATCATATAATACCCAACATCCCCGATATTTTAAATTAAAGTCTCTAAATGTACTAAGGTACTAAAAAGAAACATTGTATAACAACAAACAACACCTGTTTTCTTCCTTAACCAACTACATAAAAAAATTCAGCTACCAATACTTTGAGCATATAATATTATCAAGGATGGAAAGAAGCAAGAAAGCTTTCTAGCTGCATATGACATTAACCACAAGGATAAAATCATAAAATGGCAACAGCTTGATGCAAATAGATTTTTGTATTAAAACAAATTTTAATGATTCAATTGCTACAAGCAATCCCCAGATCAACTCACGCCCACCAACTTGAAATAACCAGTACTTACAAGAAATTTATGGTTATTAAAACAAACTCGCGTATTAATAAGAATCACAGACAGAATATGGTTATTATATAAGTAATTAAGCCTCAAAGCCATACTAAATTAGTTTGAACCAATAGAGCTCCAAATATGGAATTGACACACACTTTCAATTGACAAAGAGACTCAGAAAGAAACAAAAATCTAGAAAAAAAAGATTATATATCAAATAAATCTTCAAACTCATTAAAATATTTGCAGATATTCATCATCTGTAGCAAAGGCAATCTAAATTCCTAATTGCACAAACTACATACCACAATTACAAACGCCCCCATGTCCACACTAGGAGTATAGGTGGCCAAATTCTTCCCACGGATATAAATGGCAATGGTGGATGCCAATCTCCCAAGAATTTTGTCAGTGGCATCAACAACGTACCAAGGTTTATCTGTGTTGATATGGTCTGCAGCTTTAGGATACCAAGTCTTATTCCAAATGTCCTGCAAAAACAAAAACCAACATCATCTATTTATGCATTCATTCCCTGAACTCCATTACAAATGCAAGAATTAGAGCAGGTAAGGTTTTCATGGACAATATATATAAAAAAAAACCAGAAAATAAAAGAGAAGACAGATACAGGGCCATTGATCTCATTCTCCTCGAACATCCAGCGTTGATCAAGAGGTACACGAGCAATGGCGGTCTCTTCCTTCTTTTTCTGAGACCGAACCACAAAATTGCTGCTGCTCCAACTACTAAAAGGAAATTCTGTCCGTACACATGGTTTTTTTACCAATGAGAATCCCACAGTAAACGGACTGCAACAAATGGCATCTTTTCTTGCACAAGAAAAATAAGATTTTGGTGCACTTGGAGTAGTCGAAGAAGAAGAAGATGCGGAGGATAATAGCATAGCAGGAGACTGTGCGCACAACAGAGCCATTCTCCCTTTCTATCACTTCAGCTTCTGTGTATCTTCTCTTTTCGTTATGTTCGCATCGGTACTGGATAAGATTTCATTTTGGTTATTTCATGGTTAGGGCTTAATAAGAGTTTGGGCCCATAGATTATTGGATGCAATGGGCCGATCTATCTAAGCCCAATTATTAAATGTTGACCCGGAATTTCGATTTTATTCCCAATTCAGTTATTTTTGAACCAGTACTAGTCTACGTTCAGTCAGTCGATTTCAAACCAGTTTCGATTTCAGTATCGGTTCAGGATTAAGGTGGATTTCAATTCCAGTTCTACTCGTTCCTTTTTCTTTTTTTTTTTTTTTCAGAAAGAAAATTAAATTAAAAAAAAAAAGAGAATATTATATACAATATTAAGAAAATGTGAATAACTATAATCTAATTTTAAAAATATTGCATATTTATTCTTTTTACTCATTCAATTTTTTATTTATTTATATAATATTATATCATAAATTTTTATTTAGATCAAAATAAATATAGTGATTAATTAAAGCTGTTTAGTAACTTTGAAATTCAACTTTTATTATTTCTGTATTTCAGTGCTGTATTTATTTACAAGAATTTGTAGTTATACAAACTTATCTTAAGATACAGTTAGTTACAACAATATAAAATATACAGTTGGTATCTTTATCAGGGCTTCTCGATTCGAGCCTTATTGGAGAATGATCGAATTGTTAAATGAAACATTAGAGCTCGATGTCGCGCTTTGGAAAGCGGTTTTGTTAAGATATCAGCGAGTTGATCATTGGAACAAGTGAACTTGACCTGAAGCTCCTTTTTTTGTACTTTGTCACGTACAAAATAAAAATCAATCTCGAGATGCTTTGTGCGCGCATGAAAAACTGGATTTACTGACAAATATGTAGCACCAATATCGTCACACCATAGATTAGGTGTATTAACAAAATGAAAGCCAATATCACGTAAAAGCGCTTGGATCCATGTTAATTCAGTGGCAGCTAATCCAATGGCTCTATACTCCGCTTCAGTGGAAGAGCGAGCAACAGTCTGTTGCTTTTTGGAATTCCAAGATATAAGATTTTGACCCATAAAATTTGCATAATCGGTGGTGGATTTTCGATCATCAAGACTGCTTGCCCAATCAGCGTTAGTATACACATTCAAATCAGTATGAGTGGATTTTCGAATGAGAAGTCCGTAATGTACTGTCTCCTTCAAGTACCTTAAGATGCACTTGACTAAACTCCAATTATCATTGGTAGGAGCCTCAAGAAACTGAGAAGCTTTATGAACAGAGAAACAGACTTCTAGTGTAGTTAAACTAAGATACTGTAGACCACCCACAATACTACGATATAACGTAGGATCTGAGAACAAGGAACTTCCAGTCGATGACATTTTATCTCTTGAGACAGCCAGTGTAGCAATACCTTTGCAATTTTCCATTCTAGCCTTTGTCAACAAATCCAATATATATTTTTGCTGTGTGAGAAGTAGGCCTTCAGGCAACCAATGTGCTTCCATGCCCAGAAAATAATCTAACCGCCCAAGATCTTGAAGCATAAATTCTGCCTATAAACAGGCCATTATTCGCTACATCTCACTAAGACCAGTGCCTGTTAATATTATATCATCAACGTACACTAATGCAAAAAGTATGACATTGTTTTTAGCATAGTGAAACAATGATGAGTCTGCAGGTGAAACACAAAAGCCATGAAGAATCAATGCAGAATGGAGTTTCTTGTACCATTGTCGTGGTGCTTGGCACAAACCATAAAGAGAACGGCAAAGGCGAGATACATGGTCGGGCTTCATTTTGTCTTGGAACCCTGGTGGTTGTTCCATAAATACTTCGTCCTCCAAGTCACCATGCAAAAATGCATTGGAAACATCTAATTGTTTAACCACCCAATTTCTAGAGACAACTAGAGACAAGATTACTCGGATGGTAGTTGGTTTAACAACTGGTGAAAAAGTCTCAAAATAATCAACACCGGGGTGTTGATGAAACCCCTTTGCGACTAGCCGAGCTTTGTGACGATCAATACTACCATTAGCTTTTTGTTTGATTCGAAAGACCCACTTGCAACCCACAACATTCTATGCAATACTACAAGGAACCAATTCCCATGTACCAGTTTGTAATAATGCATTTAATTCCTGAATCATAGCATCTCACTAATGGGAGCATTTAATAGCCTGCATATAACAAGTAGGAACCAAAGTTGAAATTGTAGCATTATGAGACTGCGGAGACCACGGAATTTTGGGCTTTAGTTTTCCAGTTTGCTGTCTTGTCACCATTGGATGCTCTTTTGTGCATTGTTGGGTGGTGTCAATAACAGAAGATGAAGGCAGTGGCAGTGGAAGAGAGACTGCTTCTGGTACTGCAATTGCGTGTTGAGCAGATGAAGGAGAGGTTGGTTCGGTGGGAGCTTAAGAAGTTGGTTCGGTGGGAGTTTCACTTAGTGAAATGGTGGGCATTGAGTTAATGCTGGGGTCCTGTTGGTTTAGTGAAACGGTGAGTGCAGGTTGATTGGTATGATGTGGGCTTTTTGAACTAGGTGAAGGATTTGTTGTGGTTTGTGTAGTAGAGAGGTTATTGGTGCTGCGTTTTGGTTGAGCACCCAAAAGTCCAGCAACTTGTTGAATAGGTACAGGAGGTAATGGAATTGCAGTTGGCTGAGGTGGTGCAGGTTCTCTCACCTCCCTTTTGCGTACTAGTCCGAGCTTGTTGGGTGTTACGTATTTCATATTAATCTACTTCATTTAGCTTTTTTTGTTTTTGATTTCGATAAGACTCCATCGTTGTGCCGAACCCAATCTAATATTCTGGCAATTATTTATCAAGGAAACCATTCCCTATTTGTACCCAGTTATGTAATAATGTGTGCTATTTTATATTCCTGAATCATATCATCTCATAATGGGTAGTATTTAATAGCCTGCATTTATACCTAAGTAGGAACCAAAGTGTTTGAAATTTGTTAGCATTATGAGTACTGCGTGAGACCACTGGGAATTTTGGGCTTATGTTTGTCCAGTTTTCTGTCTTGTCTACCATTGGATGCTCTTGTGCTTTGTTTGGTGTTTGGTGTCAATAACAGTAGAGTTTGAAGCTTTTTTTTTTAGTGTTTTTTGTCAGTGGAAGAGAGACTGCTGTTCTTGGTACTTGCTCCAATTGCGTGTTGATCGAATGAAGGATGAGGTTTGTTCGGGTGTTGAGTCTAAGAAGTTGGTTCTTTTTTTGGTTGGGAGTTGTCTACTTATGTTGATAATTTGTGTTGGCATTGAGTTAATGTCTGGGGTCCTGTTGGTTAGTGAACGGTTTTGAGTGCAGGTTTGATTGGTTATGATTGTGGGCTTTTTTGATCTAGGTTGAAGGACTTTGTTGTGGTTTGTTGTAGTAGAGAGGTTATTTTGGGTTGCTGCGGTTTTGTTGAGCACTCCAAATAGTCCATGCATGAACTTGTTGATATAGGTACAGTGATGTGGATGTGAATTGCTGCGTTTTGGTTGAGCACCCAAAAGTCCAGCAACTTGTTGAATAGGTACAGGAGGTAATGGAATTGCAGTTGGCTGAGGTGGTGCAGGTTCTCTCGTGCCAGTATCATCTAGTTTCTGGTAGAGGAACACCTGCTCAAAAAATAAACATGCCGTGAGATAAAAATACACTTAGTGGAAAGCTCAAGACAAGTATAACCTTTGTGAATTTCGCTATACCCCAAAAAGACACAACGAGAGGATGTAGGTGCCAATTTATGTGGTAAATATGGTTTAAGCCAAGGATAACATAATGAACCAAACACTCGTAATTCATCATAATTGGGTTTCACCGAAAATAAAAGCTCATAAGGTATTTGATTGTGAATGTTCGGTGAAGGCAAGCGATTAATGGTATATGCAACAGCGTCAAAAGCATAAGGCCAATATGAATATGGAACTGAAGCATGGTGTAATAAAGCACGACCCAATTTGACAATATGTTTATGTTTTCGCTCGACACAACCATTTTGTTCAGGTGTGTATAGGAATGAAACACATTGAGTAATCCCATGCTCTTTGAGATATGTGGTTAAAGATCGAAACTCACCCCCCCCCCCCCCATTTCGAAACTTCACCCCCCCCCCCCCCTAATCAGATGAAAGGTTCTTTCCCCCCCCCCCCCCCCCAATCAGACTGAAAGCTTTTTATTGGAAGACCAAAATATGTCTCAACTAATTTACGAAATTGAACAAATACTGGAAAAACATCAGATTTTTGCTTTAGAAAATACAACCAACAATATTTACTAAAGTGATCATAGAAAATGACGTAATATCAAAAACCATCGACAGAAACAACAGGCGAAGGCCCCCAAACATCGAAACAAATTAACTCAAGAGGTTTCTTTGCATGATAAACAAAATCAGGACAAGGAAGTTTATGAGACTTGCTCACATTACAAGCATGACAAAAATCAAACTGCTTATGAGAATCAACAGAAATTTTATTAATCGTAAGAACATGCTTAACAATACGAATATTTGCATGACCCAAACGCTCATGGCATAACGACACAGTTGCAGGAAATGTTGTAGGTGAAAGTGAGCGAACAGATTGCATAGGAAAAAGATAGAGTCCATCTTTACTCAGGCCTTGGAATAGCACCTGCCTTGTGGGGATATCCTTCACAAAATAAGAGTTAGGAAATAATTCAATAGACGCATTATTTTGTGAAGTAAAAGCAGAAACAAATAGTAAGTTAGTAGTGACATGTGGTGAATAAAGAACATCATTGAAAACAAAAGAACGACCATTAATATGAGAAATAGTGGAACCACGAGAAAGAATTGAATAAACAATTTTAAGATACGATCCATTAATATGAGTAAATAGTGGTAACCACGAGAAAGAATCGTGGTAAAGATTTTACCATCTGCATATTTGTTAGTCGCTAGTTATAATCATTGCACAGCTATGTCCGAGCAATTGTTTTTCCTGATTAGCAACTTAGATGATAATTGGCACCAGGTAATTCCACTATCCTGTTTTTGGTTTTGGTTTAGGTTTACTTTGTGCAACATTT